GAGAATTTTGGAAATTATGGTGTGCTTGAAACGGTGGTTGTGAAGTTTGTGCATTGTCACTCTTCCAACTGAAATTTGGGTGATTCCTCCAACCAGGGTTGTATGTTTGGGAGTATGGGTTGTGGTTGGCCCTTTGAAAACTGTTTAAAGCATGGGCTTGTTCATGGAGACATTCTTTAAAAGAAGGCAAGGTTGGACAATCGTTGGTTGAGTGTTCATTTGTTTCACAGATTTGACACACAATGTTTTCAACAGATTTTAATTGACCACTCTTTTTCAATTCTAGTGCCTCGACTTTTCTAGCTAAAGATGCAAACTTGGCTTGAAGGTCATGATCTTCCCTAAGGTTGTACATACCTCCACTAGATGTATGAGGTTGAGTTTTACTCGGTGCCTCACAAGTACCCGCGGTGTCCCAATTTTGAGCATTTTCAGCTAACAAGTCTAAGTACTCCATTGCTTCATCAGGGTCTTTATCTTCAAAAGTTCCATTGCACATCAATTCAACCATTTGCCTATCTTTAGGTGTTAACCCTTCATAGAAATGTGAAACCAATCTCCATGTTTCAAAACCATGATGAGGGCAAGTACTAAGCAAGTCTCGATACCTATCCCAACATTGGTAAAATGTTTCTCCTGGTTTTTGAGTGAAAGTGGTGATTTGTCTCTTGAAAGAGTTTGTTCTATGAGATGGAAAAAACTTCTTTAAAAACTGTTGTTGCATTTCATCCCAAGCACGAATGGATCCTGGTCTTAAATTTTGTAGCCATGTTTTAGCTTTATCTTTTAATGAAAAAGGAAAAAGCTTTAATCTAATGGTGTTCATGCTACAATTTAAATTATTATATGTGTTGCAGACCTCCTCTAGATAATCTTTTATTGACTCTTAAGACGCATCCTAGTTGACACGACGAAAAGATTGTTGTCTTCTCCCAAGTGCAGGAGTGTCGAAGTAATAAATAACCCGGCAAGACCGGGGTCGAACCACAGGGAGGTTAATTGTACAAATTATAAACAACAATTATAAAACAACAATAACAACAACAACAATAGTAATAATAATAATAATAATAATAATAATAATAATAATAATAATAAAGAAAAAGAAGGAGAAGAAGAAGAAGAAGATGAGAACTTTGAGATGGAATATTAATGTAACGATTAAACAATGATAATAACAAATGTCAAGGTTAGAGGTTCCACTAATGGTATATCAAACAAGTATAGTATAAACTCTTATTATTGAATTGGAAACCACACACAAAGGAGGTTCCAATCAGATTATATATTGTTAACATGATTACATTAGTCATCTTATTCGATTAATGCTAATACTTGTAAATCTCGTCAAGCATTCATGATTATAACTTATGTTAACAACAAATCAAGTTTCTTTCATAGCTCAGGTGTCGGTTATACCATACATTATGGGCTATGAAAGTGCCAAGCATTGGGTGTACCAAGTGTTATACAACATAAATCAAGATTAGTCATTTAACAAGCAAAGTATTAAAGAGTGAACAAGATAACAAATACAAAACATGTTAGTATCAAACATTAAAGTCCATATTAAGTTTACACTATACTTATTCTTACACCATTAGTGTAACCTTTTCACCTTGACATAATAAACTTAGCTAGACATAATGAAAGAAAGAAAAATAAATAAACAAAATAAGAACATAAATAAGATAAGAGTTAACAAAGCAAAGGAAAGGAATTGAAAGGCATAAACTGATATTAATGAAAGCAAAGCATAAACATTACAAAAAATACAAAGAGAGAAAACAAGAGCATGATCTTGATCTGGACACCAAGATGCCTAAATGCATGGCAAATGCCTCCTTTTATAGGCCAAAATTGGGAACTATTGATTTGATGACTAATTGATGAGTGGGTGGCCAACTCTTGACTTGGTGACAATCCTTATCTTCTCTTGTCTACCCAAAACGTCATTGATAACGTCAAAATTGGAACCACTTGCAAACATAAAAGTTGTATGCAATTGTCTCAGCTGTCTTGTGTAAAAAATTCTGCTCATTTGGACTTCTAGAACTTCAGATATGGCCAAAATACTGAACAGTGCTCGGGCTGGAGGACAGATTCGGGCTTTTTTTATTGTTGCTATATTTGGACTTGAAAATGGTCTTTCTAGATCTTGGGCTTTATATGAAAGTTGTAAGCCTATGTCTTACCTTTCCATCCATATAAAATGGACCTAAATCTGAAATCTACAACTCCAGATATGATCCAAGTACCGAACAGTGTTCCAGTTTGGACTGCACCGACATCTCTTTTCGGAGTTTAGCCATCTCTTTATCCTTTCAATTTCAATTCTTAAATTCATCAATCAATCCTTTCATTTATGTGATAGGCTTGCATTAAAAATAGACATTTACCACAAATTATAGGTATCTTATATTATTAGATACATTATTATAAAACATGTTTTAGTTAAGGAGTTCAAGTGCAAAATGATGATATAAAACCTTGATAAAAATGTACTTTTAAGTACTAATCACTACTCACTCAACAATTAGTCAACAAATAAATAGTTCCCAATTTTGGCCTATAAAAGGAGGCATTTGCCATGCATTTAGGCATTTTGGTTTTCAGATCAAGATCATGCTCTTGCTCTCTCTTTATTGTAATGCTTATATTTTACTTATATTAATCTCTTATTTATGTTTTTCATTTCCTTTTCTTTACTTCGTTAACTTTTATCTTATTTATGTTTTTATTTTATTTATTTATGTTTCTTTCTTTCATTATATTCAATTAAGTTTATTATGTCAAGGTGAAAAGGTTACACTAATCGTGTAAGAATAAGCATACTATAAAGTCAACATGGACCTTAATGTTTGATACTAACATCTTTTGTATTTATTATCTTGTTCACTCTTTAATACTTTGCTTTTTAAATGACTAATCTAGATTTATATTTTATAACATTTAGTACAACAAATACTTAGCACTTTCATAGTTCAACCGTATGGTATAACCTACACATGTGCTATGAAAGGAACTTGATTTGTTGTTAACATAAGTTATAATCATGAATGCTTGACAATATTTACAAGTATTAGCATTATTCAAATAAGATAATTATTATAATCATGTTAACAATTTATAATTCGATTGGAATGTTTTTTGTATGTTGTTTCCAATTGACTAATAAGAGTTTCTACTATATTTGTTTGAAATACCATTAGTGGTTTCTTTAACCTTGATAATTATTTTTATTATTGTTTAATCCTTATATCAATATCACATTTCAAATCTCTCATCATCATCATCATCATCATCATCATCATCATCATCATTATTGTTGTTGTTGTTGTTTATATAATTAACCTCTATATGGTTCAATCTCGATTTTATCAGGTTATTTATTATTTTAACACTTTTATACTTAAAAAAACATTAATTTTTTTATTATGTTAACCTCAGCATACCACCCCCAATTCCATGGTCAATCAAAGGATATTAATCATTATGTAGAATAGTATTTAAGAAGCTTCGTTCATCAATGGCCTCATAAATGGCACTCCTTATCATGGGCAGAGTTCTGGTACAATTCCACCTTTCATGTATAGACTGGAATGACACCATACCAGGTACTTTATAGCCGACCACCACCATCCCTTCCAGAATATTTTGATGGATCAACATCAGTTCACGATGTTGAACAAAATCTCCCGACCTGTGATGAGCTTCTGCTACAGCTCAAACACCACTTGGCAACGACAACCAATAGCATGAAACAAATCACTGACAAGAAGTGGCGGGATGTGTCCTTTCAAGAAGGTGATATGTTGTTTCTTAGGCTACAACCTTATCGGCAAAGCTCTGCTTTCAAAAGAGCACACCAGAAATTAGCAAGTCGGTTCTTTGGTCCTTATCAAATTCTTAAAAAAGTGGGCAACGTGGCTTATAAATTGCAGTTACCTGTGGGTGCTCGTATCCATCCTGTCTTTCATGTTTCCTTACTGAAGAAATATATGGGAGATGCAACCGAGACACGCATAGACTTTCATTATCATATTGGAGCCTGAGACTCTCACTGATCATCGCTGGGTGAAGCAATGCGGTAAGTTCCTTGCGAAGAGTCGATGAAATGGAAACACTTACCATCAGAGAAAGCTACCTCGGAAGTGACCGAGTCGCTGTTTCACCAGTTTCCATACCTGAACCTTGAGGACAAGGTTCCACTTCCTGGGGGGTATTGATAAGCCATGAAAGTCTAAGAGAGCAACAAAGCGGAATCCCAAATACAGTGAAGGAAGTGCAGGCAGAAGACCAAGACGAACTTGATAATTAAACCCACGAAGGCTTAATTGTAGGAACCAGAGCAGCTCACGTGAGGGGCTTTACCACGTCAACTAATCATGGGGGGTAGTGTTAGGCATTACTTTTTCCATTCTGTTTTGCAGTAAAATTGATTTTGTAACCGTTGCAGTAAAATCTCCATTTTCGGCTGTATATCCGAATAGTTGATTGAAGTTAAGGTATTAATAAGCTCTGGAAAGAAATGAAAAGGGATACTAGAATTTCTATCCTATTTTATCTTGTGATTCAGTCCTATTGAATATTGACTTTTGACAGGTATCTTATCACAGGTCTATTGGATTCCCTGTCTCCATTTTTATATTTGTTACAAAGACAGTCAACCAGTTACCATATTGGGCATATGGTTCGTCTTCGCCTCTTGTGTGCCAATGGGATCCTTTTGGGCAGCTTGCTTTAGTTAGAGCATGGAGATTCCACTAGTTTAGGATTACTGATGAAGCACAAGGATGGTTAATTACGACATTGCAGCAATTGCCCCCGCCTATTCTGCCTGAATGTCTATATGACCTATATGATTTCTAAAATCCTTTCTAGTTTCTTGTTCATTTCCTACAATGCACTTATGAGCTGACCTTGTAACTTTCTATTTTTGTTGCAGAATTGTCGGTCATGAAAAAAAAAAGCAAAAAGAAAATAAAAGTACAGGTATCTGCTCTGAAAATCTGTTCTCTTCCGAAAGAAGAAAAGGTCCATAGCTTCATTTCCCATTGATATAACTTTCAACAGCTCAACTAAAACACGTTCACAAAGTTTGTAAACCTAAAAGGAATGACAAGAACCAGGCAAGAAATGCTGCCATTGCAAGCAGTTGGTGATCTATGACCACATTATGGCTGTGACATCCAAAATAAGGATGCATTGAATGCCAGATGTGGAAATAAGCTGTGCCCACTTTTCACTCGGTCAATTCTGCTTCAACTTCTCTCTTCTTGCCTTTTCTCTTCTCATTACCACCCTGTTCCTGTTGCTCAGCCTTTTTCTGAGCTCGAATCATGGCTCTTCTAGCACGAGGTCGTATTTCTCGCACTTTTCGGGGAGGCATCACATATGGTTCAAGAGGCCGATCACCAAAGGGGTGCTCACTGTCAGGAAAAATCCTTAGTTTCCGATCTCTATCCTGTGCCCAAAAATTAATAATGTCAAACCATGAGGTCTCCATTTATTTCAAAGAATACATAAAAAAAATTGTCTACAGAAACCATGTGAAAATTTCTGAATCAAACAATGTTAGTAACCAGTAGCCCATGCTCCTCATGGGATATTTTTAGCACGCAAGATTGAAACACCTCTTTTATTGGAAATGCTAGTTAAAGCAGTAGAAAGATTCATTATGTTTTTTTATCTCATTACATCCCAAATTGCCTACAATAATTTTTCTAGATGGTAGGAAAGTTACAACAGAGTTTAATCATCTTATCTACCTGCATTTCAGAAATGCAGAAAGGGTTGTCAACTACATGCAATCAAGTGCGGCAAATGCTAAACCTTACTAAGACAAGTATCCCTATAGATTAACAATGATGGGGAATGTGTTAGAGGGAAGAAGGAAAATAGTGAGAATCAATCATTTCAACAGAAGAAAGACATCAAAACATAGAAAGGAGTAACGCACATCACGCAATTTGTTTCTTGGAAGCATACGCAAAACAGCTTTTCGGATCACTTCTGTAGGGTCCTTGGCCATCTGATCTTTTAAACTCCTTTCCTTGAGGTGTCCTATATACCTGCAGAAAACAAATAATCAATCAACACAGGACCAAACTGCATTTGCTCCCTTTGTCTACATCTCAAAATTGGAAAGCAAAAGTATCTCATTTTCGTTGACAGTCAAAAGTCCTCGGAAATTTCATATTCCTCTTCTATAATGTTTACTCCTTTGATACCAAGGAGATTTAATTAGTCATTAATGCCCAACAATCAAGTAGATGAAGATAAGATCATTTATTTCCCCATTCTATTTTACATTCCATGAAAATTTTGGTTTGTGGAGTGAAAATCAGAAAAGATGATTGTTGATCGCTTATCCTTTTGATGTTCCATATTCCACAATAACTAGGAATTCAGAGATAGAAAATGTTATGATACTTGCCCAGTATGCCAGCGGTAAAACTTATCAGTCATTTTTCTCCCGGTTACACAGACATCCTTTGCATTAAGCACAACACAAATATCACCATCATCACGATAAGGGGCGTAAGTTGGCTTATCCTTGCCTTGAATAACTGTTGATATTTGAGATGCTAATCTTCCAAGAACCTATTAGAAAGCAGGTACTGTTACAATTTCAAACTTAAAGAACTGAAAAAAGAAAAGGTAGTATAAACCAGTTCAAATCTAGCAAGATAATGCATATTAAAGAAAAAGAAATAGTGGGACCATTTCCTTCACTAAATCCTACATCTTTGCCAAGCTTGTTACACAAACTATTAGCTGATGGACTCTGGTTTTTATTTTCCCAAATGACAGTAGAATAAACGAGTATCTTTGTTGAAATCCAAGAATTACCTCATCTCCCATGCAAGCTGGCTATTACAGGAAAATTCTGAAGCATAATAAATCTATAATATCTTGGAACAGCATATTGGAAAAAAATAGAGATCCAACCTGGCCTTTGGCATCAAATACTCTCCATCGCAGACCTTCCAGATTAATACGTTTGAGGCCAGCAAGTGCTTTCTGTAAGAACACATACAGAACAGCATTTTCTATTATTGATTCCAATGCCATCTATCGATTCATAAAACCACAGGTATATAAATGTTAAACACATGCTTTGTCATCTGCACTAAGAGTGCATAAAGAATCCATCAAGCAAGTATATTAAGTGAATGTTTCTCTCCTTTGTCTCTTATTAGAAAAATCATTTATATTTATTATTTAAATTTTAAATTTTATGTTTTTCTTTTTTAAAAAAGGTGTTTTTTCAGTTTGGAAATTCAGTTTTTTTTCTTAATGAATGTTTCAGCTTGGTTACAAAATCAGTAAAGAGTTTGCAAGTTCCTGCAGGTCAAGAACCCTGCCTCTTAATGGCAGTAAAAGGCAGCAACATCAAGGTTTTAAGGCAAAGAGCTGAGCAATAGCTCAAGAACACTATACTGCACGACTATAGTCCCAACTGTAAAGTCCTGCCTTTACTCATGTTAAAGAATTGGCATCTAAAATGGCCAGATGTCAGGGACGTGAATGCGCACGTCACAATACTGAAATATCTCGTGGCCAGGCTATGTACTTGGAGCTTTAAAGATTGAATGGAAACATCATGCAGCCCATCTGACTTGATTTAGAAAAACCCTCAATTTGGAGGGGTCACAATACTCGGCTTTACTAGAGTTGTTTGGTGGGCTCACTGTGAAGATGATGTAGAGATGGTGGTGAGTGTAGTTCAGGTAATAATTAGCGGTCAAAATAATTCCACAAAAAAAATTGACCACATAAAAAACTAGAAAATCTAATTTTCATACACTATTGAATGATTAAGTTTGTAGGCAATGCAACCCTGAAGACACCGGGCATCAAAGCATTCCTGGGCGGCGAACATATAAATAAAATCGTAAAAAAGACAAAATTAGAGGCATTTTAATCTAATACAATACATTTTACGAACAATTGGTGTGCTGAAAATGAAAGTTAATTTCTCTACGAGTTTGGGACAAAAGAACCTGGATTTTCGACGGAAAATGAATGAAAGGAATACAAAGAGAAAAGAGTCACTAAATATAAAAAGGAAGTACCTTCATGTTGCCATTAAAAGCGCTAGCTGCAGCTTGGCTTGCCATTTCTCTTTTTCTCTCTACACAAGTAAATGATTTCTCGTTTCTCGACTACAAATCATTCGCCTGTGTTAATAGCAAAAGAAAATAAATGATTTATCAAACTACGCATAGAAACAAAAACACTGAAAACAAAATTAAAAACCAAAAGAAGGGGTTTAAGCTGGAAACCTTGAAGATAAGTAGGGTTTGTTTGGAAAAGAAAAGAAAAGTAAAGAAAAAGAAGCTCGCAGCAGGGCATAATGGTTTTGGGCCTTCTTTTCGATACAAGTAAAGGTTTCTTAGGCTTAGAGAAAGCCCAGGTTTTATTTTTCTTAGTGCCTTAAAATAATGCTTTCGTTAACGCTGTTTTATACACATTTATTTTTATTTTTATTTATTTATTTTTATTATTATTATTTTATATAGATTGTCAATTTTGTTAAGTTGTGTCGGAACGGCTAATATATCACGTTTCAGTTTTAAAAACAGGATAAACTAGAAAAAAATTCATTTCATTCGTAATCTCAATCTCAGCACATTTTAAAAATTTTATTAGGAAAATTCTAGTTTTATTCCGGTTATTTCGTTGTGGTCAAATAATATTTTTTAAAAAAAAAATTAATATTTTTTTTAATTTCATCTTCCAACACTAATTTATTAAATATTTGATTTTATAATTTTATTGTAATTTTTTTTATAGTTATCTTAATCTTATAATTCATATCACGAGTTTGATGATTTATCCCAATTAACTTGTTTTTTTTTCTATTTTTTAATTAATTTTTTTTAAGTTTCATCTTTTAACATCTTCAATATTTAGTTAATTAAGAATTAAACTTTGTTTTTTGTTTTAATTTATTTTTTATGAAATTATCCTAATCTCATTACTCGAGTCACGAATTTTGTGAGTTAACCCAAGTAGAATTAGATCATTTTATTAATTCTTTTTTTAGATTGAATTTTTTCTCAATTTTATTATTTAACAATAGGTTTATTAGGAATTGAGTTTCATAATTTATTATAATTTGCTTTATTTGAGATTATCATAGTCACATGACTTGGGTTGTGAATTTAAAAGGTTAATTTAGATTGATCCAGGTCAATTCATTATACTATTGTCTTAATATTTTTTTAAAAAAGATGTTTTGAATTTTTTTATCCTGACTATATTTTTATCAGTCATTTACGTTGTCTCAAAACCTGTTGAGTCAATCAAATTATATTGGTTCAACTCTTAGATTTTTACTTATGTTTAAAATTTATATTGTATAATCTTAAGTTAATCCATTTTTAGATTTAAATAGAAATTTAAACTACACAACCTCAAAACAAAATCAAAATATATCATTTCAATTAAAAAATTAGAACACTAATCAAAAAGGAATTAATAACATTGTTATAATATTATTAGAGATTAGATTCTCCAACTAACTCCATAACACGACCAAAAGATTGATGTCTTCTTCCAAGTGCAGAAATATCGAAATAATAAATAACCTGGTAAGATCGGAGTCGAACAACAAAAATGTTAACTATATAAATTATAAATAACAACAATAACAACAATAAGTTAAAGAGGACTTTGAGATTGTAAGATTAATATTAGGATGAAATAATGATAAAAATAAATGACAATGTTAAAGGATCCACTAATAGTATTTCAAACAAATATAGTATAAACTCTTTTTATTATTCAACTAGAAACCATGCACAAAGGAGGTTGCAATCAGATTATAAATTATTAACATAATTACATTAGTTATCTTATTTGAATAATGCTAATACTTGTAAATATTGTCAGGTATTCATGGTTATAACTTATGTTAACAACAAATTCACTTCCTTTCATAGCATAGGTGTAGGTTATATCATATGGTTGAACTATAAAAATACCAAGTATTTCTTGTAGTAAGTGTTATACAACATAAATCTAGATTAACCATTTAACAAGTAAAATATTAAAAGTGAACAAAATTACAAATACAAAACATGTTAGTATCAAACATTAAAGTCCATGTTGAGTTTATACTATACTTATTCTTACATCATTAGTGTAACCTTTTCACCTTGACATAATAAACTTAACTAAATATAATGAAAGAGAGAAAAATAAATAAACAAGATAAGAACATAAATAAGATATAAATTAACTAGGTAAAGGAAGGGAAATGAAAAGCATAAATAAGAGATTAATAAAAGCAAAACTTAAGCATTATAAAAAATATATATATAAAAAAAAGCATGAACATGATCTTTGATTTGAAAACCAAGATGTCTAAATGCATGGCAAATGCCTCCTTTTATAGGCCAAAAGTAGAAACTATTGATTTGATGACTAATTGTTGAGTAGGTGATCAACTCTAGACTTGGTGACAATTCTTATCTTCTTATCTGCCAAAAAGGTCATTGTTAACGTCAAAATTCGAATGGACTTAAATCATGAAAGTTCTAAGAAATTGTTTCAACTCCAACAAAAAATATTGAGATCATTTGGACTTCTAAAACTCAAGATATAGGCTAAGCACTAAACAGTATCTAGGCTGTAGGACAAATTCAGACTTATCTGTTGTTGCTAAGATTTGGACTTCCAACTAGACAAATTGAATCTTACCTTTCCATGAATGGTTTAAGCTTACCTTTTCACTTTCTAGCCATATAAACCAAATTGAAATTTAAGATCTAAAGCTCTAGATATGACCCAATAACTGAACAGTGTTCTAATTTGGACAAAACTAGCATAATTTTTCTAAGCTTCACCCTCTCTTTATCTTCTTAATTTCAATAATTGAACTCATCAATCAATCCTTTGATTTATGTGATAGGCCTACATTTAAGATGAATATTTACTATAAATTAAAGATATCTTATAGTATCGATGCCTAAATGCATGGCAAATGCCTCCTTTTATAGGCCAAAATTGGGAACTATTGATTTGATGACTAATTGATGAGTGGGTGGCCAACTCTTGACTTGGTGACAATCCTTATCTTCTCTTGTTTGCCCAAAACGTCATTGATAACGTCAAAAATGGAGCCACTTGAAAACATGAAAGTTGTAGGAAATTGTCTCATCTCTCTGGTGTAAAAAATTCAGCTCATTTGGACTTCTAGAACTCCAGATATAGCCAAAATACTGAATAGTGCTCGGGCTGGAGGACAGATTCAGACTTCTTTGTTGTTGCTACAATTTGGACTTGAAAATGGCCTTTGCAGATCTTGGGCTCCATATGAAAGTTGTAGACCTATGTCTTACCTTTCCATCCATATAAAGTAGACCTAAATCTGAGATATATAGCTCCAGATATGACCCAATTACTGAATAGTGTTCTGGTTTGGATTGCACCGACATCTCTTTTCTAATTTTGGTCATCTTTTTGCCCTTACAATTTAACATCTCTTTTCTAAGTTTGGCCATCTCTTTATCCTTGCAATTTAAGTTCTTAAAGTCATCAATCAAACCTTTCATTTATGTGATAGGCCTCAAGTCATCAATCAATCCTTTCATTTATGTGATAGGCCTACATTTAAAATGAATATTTACCACAAATTAAAGGTATCTTATATTATTAGATATATTACTATAAAACATGATTTAGTTAAGGAGTTATTGATACTTCAAGTGCAAAATGATGATATAAAACCTTGATAAAAATGCACTTTTAAGTACTAATCACACCCCCCAACCAGCTTATTACTAGTCCCTAGTAATCAAAGTGTTAAAATAGAAAAACAATTTACAAATTCCACAAAGTAAGGTATTCATCATTTAACTTCCATTAATCTATCCAGATAAACAAACTCTCGTTAAATTTATATACCTGCTCAATACCTCTTAACAAGATATTCATAAACCTTTCTTTTGTGCTCAATGTATCAACACATAAATATGGGGCTTTTCTTGGAAGAAAACAAAATTTTTGTTCTAATGTTTAAGGTTAACTTCCTTGGGTTGGGATTATTATTTTTGTCTTTTTTTTCTCTTTTTTTAATGTATATACATATAATTTAAAAACATCATGCATCTTTAACCCATGTAACGAGCTTTCAGCTAATGACTCCCAGACCAGTTGGTCTTAGGACATTAGGTGTTAAGACACCCCTATGAGCTTAGTGATTAGTACTTAAAAGTGCATTTTTATCATGGTTTTATATCATTATTTTGCAGTTGAAGTATTAATAACTCCTTAACTAAAGCATGTTTTATAATAATATATCTAATAATATAAGATACATTTAATTTGTGGTAAATGTTCATTTTAAATGCAGGTCTATCATATAAATGAAAGGATTGATTGATGACTTTAAGAACTTAAATTGCAAGGGCAAAGAGATGACGAAAATTAGAAAAGAGATGTCGGTGCAATCCAAACCGGAACACTGTTCGGTAATTGGATCATATCTGGAGCTATAGATCTCAAATTTAGATCTAATTTATATGGATGGAAAGGTAAGACACAGGCCTACAACTTTCATATGGAGCCCAAGATCTATGACACGACGAAAAGGTTGATGTCTTCTCCCAAGTGCAGGAGTGTCGAAGTAATAAATAACCCGGCAAGACCGGGGTCGAACCATAGGGAGGTTAATTGTACAAATTATAAATGACAATAGTACAACAACAATAATAATAATAACAACGACAATAATAATAGTAATAACAATAATAACAACAATGACAATAATAATAACAATAATAATAATAATAATAATAAAGAAAGAGAAGAAGAAGAAGAAGATGAGAACTTGGAGATGGAAAATTAATGTAAGGATTAAACAATAATAATAACAAATGTCAAGGTTAGAGGTTCCACTAATGGTATATCAAACAAATATAGTATAAACTCTTATTATTGAATTGGAAACCACACACAAAGGAGGTTCCAATCAGATTATATAGTGTTAACATGATTACATTAGTCATCTTATTCAATTAATGCTAATACTTGTAAATCGCGTCAAGCATTCATGATTATAACTTATGTTAACAACAAATCAAGTTTCTTTCATAGCTCAGGTGTCGGTTATACCATACATTATGAGCTATGAAAGTGCCAAGCATTTATTGTACCAAGTGTTATACAACATAAATCAACATTAGTCATTTAACAAGCAAAGTATTAAAGAGTGAACAAGATAACAAATATAAAACATGTTAGTATCAAACATTAAAGTCCATATTAAGTTTACATTATACTTATTCTTACACCATTAGTGTAACCTTTTCACCTTGACATAACTAACTTAGCTAGACATAATGAAAGAAAGCAAAATAGATAAACAAAATAAGAACATAAAAGTTAA